TTGAGGGGCTGGAGGTGGACTACATGTCTGATGAGAGCAGGTGACTCCAATGACGCACACATCTTTATGCACAGAGTTACTGTCGCCACATGCAAACAGCCCTCTTTTCATGGTTACTGCAGTCTAATCATTATCATCTTCCTTTCTTTGCTCCAGTTCTGAAGAAGAGGAGCAAGAGAAGACCAAGCCCAATAAGGGAGAGGACGTCCCTAAAGGTTGGTGACTAAAGGGGTTTTCCCCCTTTGTTTGCAGGAATGTACTTTCATCTAATGGAGATATTTGATTTGAGGCAACTCTGTGAAGCTCTAACGGCTATCTTTCAGGAATTGATGAAATGTCTGAAAGTGAGGAAGAGAGTGAGGAAGAGAACAAGAATGAGGAAGATGCCAAGGAGGAAGAAGAGGAGGAAGATGGAAAGAAGACGCCAGTGCAGGTGGAAAAGAAGAAAAAGAAAGGTAAAATCACTGAATTTGACAATTTATTCATTGTATTTTAGTGATGATGATTACGTTTATTGAAGTCTAGTTTTGCAAAAATTAAAATATGAAAATAAAATGGACTCCTTTATCAACCATTAAAAATTAAATAAAGTATTTTTTTTTAAATGACAGACGCATTTAAAATGTTTAATTTAATGTTTAAAAATGTGTAACAGTAAAATAATAAACCAACTTAAAGCTGACAAAAAAATAAACATTCATAACTGTTTAAGTAATGTTTCAAATTTGAGATAAATGCAATAGTAATCCATAAAATAATTTCAAATGAAACTTATAAAATGCATTTAAAAAAGTATTACCAAATAGCTTTTCTGTGTGATTTATTTCTGATTTTGAATGAATATTTTGATAAATATTTTTGTGTTACTCTTAAAGGGATAGTTCACCCAAAAATGAAAATTCTGTCATCGTTTACTCACCCTCAAGCTGTTCCAAACCTGTATAAGTTTCTTTGTTCTGCTGAACACAGAAGAAGATATTTTGAAGAATATTTGTAATCAAACAGCTCTCGGGCCTCATTGACTTCCATAGTAGGAAAAAAACCCGAGATCTGTTTGGTTACAAACATTCTTCCAAATATCTTCCTTTGTGTTCAGCAGAACAAAGAAACACATACAGGTTTGGAACAACACGAGGGTGAAATTTCATTTTTGGGTGAACTATCCCTTTAAGGTCCTTTCACTTGAAGGACAATAACTAACGATAACGAAGACATAGTTTCATATTTTTTCTAAATGTAAAAGACTAGCAGAGTACACACCACAACTATAATAATAATGACAGAGGAATGATATTGTTCCAGAATGATTTTCTTTCTATCTGATGAATGATAAAAACATTGACAACAAATCAGAATCCATCCTGCTTTATAAAGCGACATTTAAACAGCAGACGATAAAATGCAGTGTGCACTTAGAATAAACAATGTTACTGTTTGCTTGTGTGGACGTTAAAATATTAATAATATATTGTTATTGGTACCTTTATAGGTATTGTTCTTGGTATTAGTATTGTTGTTGTTTTATTTTCATTTAGTAAAGATCATTGTGTATGTTGTTTCAGACAGCAGTGGCGAGTCAGACAGCTCCGAGGACAGTGATATTGAAGGAGAGGCAGCTTCAGCACTGTTCATGGTGGTAATGGCTTACATTTGCGTGCATGTGCGTGTGTTTGGGAAACAGAATCGAATGAGAGGGAGAGAGTGAGAGAAGCTGTTGTTGTTTTTCTGATGGGTTTTCATGTGTATATGGTACAGTGCTCTCTTGTTGTCTCCCCTCTCACAGAAGAAGCGCACACCTCCTAAGCGAGGGGGTGGGCGAGGATCAGCAGGTAGTTCAAGAACAGGAAGTCGACCTGGCACACCTTCTATCGACAACGCTGCCACTTCAAACACTCTGCGTGCCGCTGCCAGCAAACTGGAACAAGGTACACTCAAAGAAACTCAATTGATTAAAACATTTCAATTAATAAATTGCATGATATGATGCCAAGGATCTATGGTTAATTGATTTATTCACATATATATATATAATTGTGGAGAAAAGTAAAAAATAATTCAGTTACTTTAATATTATTGTGGCAAATCATTGCAAAGAGATTACAAAAGAGTTTTAGAAGCCTATTTATATGTTGTTTTTCTTCATAATTGTTCATTTTTAATTGTATTTTTGTATTTATTTATTTGGTTTAATGCTGTTGTTATTACTTGTTATTATACTTGTTATTACTTGCAGTTAAAGGGATACTCCACCCAAAAATGAAAATTCTTCCTTGTCCACACTAATATGTTTTCGCTTGAACACGTGTATTTTTATCTCAGTTTTAGCCTCTGTACCAGATTTAAATTACTTTCGTTCTTCAGATAAACATGAAAGTTCACGCTTTACATAAATGTCAGCACGTTGTGAAACATGACATAAGTGTGTTGTGAATCTCACAAGAGAAGTGCCCCGGAAGCACATGAGTGTCGTTCTTGAACAGGTTTCACATTGTGCTTATTTTTCTAAAAACCTTTGTTACTGTCTATCTGAAGAGAGAAAGTCATACACATCTGGGGACTGCATGAGGGTGAGTAAATGATGAGAGCATTTATTTTTGGGTGGAGTATACTATTCCCTTAAGCCATTAATAAGCCATAACGTTATATTTTCTGCCTAGTATCTTATTTCATCTTGTCTGTTTCTCTGCTCTGCTAAGGTTTATGTTTACGCTCTTCTGTCTCAGGTAAGCGGCAGACGACAGTACCGAGCTCAGAGACTCCGGCGGCAAAGAGATTAAAGATGGAGCCCAGCCCTCAGAGCTCTTCAGGGAAGAGCACACCCCAACCAGTATCAGGGAAATCCACCCCCAGCACCAGGTACTTTTTTTTTTCTCATAGTCGGCATGAAACAAAAGTTGCTATATAGTCTTTTCTTCCCTATTGTTACTTATATCAAGTTAAACGGCTTCTCAAACAAGAAAAAATGTAGGGTGGGGCATCACTTTGTCCATTGGAAATAGCTTGGATCGCTGGATGGTTGTGGTTTGCTACTGCTGTGGTGTCATGTGAGTGACGGGTCGTTTCACCATTGCACCAGTAAACGGGTCATCAGAGATGTCGCTGGAAGAGGGAGGGGAACTTATTTTGATGAGACATTCTGAGAGCACATAAATTTGATTTCATGGTGAATTTAAACATTGCCTAGAGCTTTGGATCCCATCTTTTCTGTAGTAACATTATGCCACTGTGTGTGATTACACCCATAATTCAGAGTTTATGCTAAATTTCAACACTTCACACATCTCCAACATATTAGGGGCTTTCGCACCGGATAGTTTTAGGAACTAGCCACCAGGGTGGTTCCCCGAGAACTAATGGTTGCCCTTAGGAACATTTAACTGTTGCATTCGCACCGCCTGTAGGAACTTTGAAGTGACGTAAGCCGCGCTCATTGTTGTGACTTTTATTTTGACTGCGCTGAGAACGCCAGAGCCTGAGCAAACAAACAGTGCTCGCATTCTCCGTCTTCATTAGTTTACGATCTGTCTAACAGTCCTGTCTAATACGTTATTAGATAGAACTGTTATACATAGAAAGTAGACAGTATATGAAAAGTTATTAGCGTATGCCGTGCGGTTGATGTCCAGTGTCACTAGCTGAGCAGAAATACATGATCATGTTTAGCTTGGTCCCCTTAATGTTGCGTTGGATTTTCTCCTCAGCGTAAAGGTTAAGAGCTATCACTGTTTTCCATATTAGTAGAGTTAGTTTCTGGAGTAAACATATAGGCTATAATCTGTGTTTACATAGCTTTTTTTAAAATGGCGGGTGCCGGTGTTTCGCGTGCGTTCGGCCAATTCGCGTACACTAACGTCACTGATAGTTCCTATAGTGCTGGTTTAGACCCTACTCTGAAGTAGGAGCTAAATTAGTTCCTCCAAAAGAGTTCCTAGAACTAAAATCGTTCCTAGTTCCTGCGGTCGACATCCGGGTACTTTCGCCAATAGTTCTCTAGGCACTATGAAAAGGTCCCTCCGGTGCGAAAGCCTCTTATGTCTATTTTTCCCTCCAAATTGCAGACAGGTTCTGCCATAGTCACAAACCATATTATGTCTTGCTTATTTTAACATGCATAAATAAAATCCATTCTTCCATCCCCCTTTTAGTGATGTGCAGCTGACTGAGGATGCCGTGCGCAGGTATCTCATCAGGAAGCCCATGACCACTAAAGACCTGCTGAAGAAGTTCCAGACTAAGCGCACAGGCCTCAGCAGCGAGCAGACAGTCAATGTGCTTGCCCAGATCTTGAAGAGGCTTAACCCAGAGAGGAAGAACATCAATGAGAAGATGCACTTCTACCTCACTGAGTGAACCCAACCGAGGAGAGAGTGAAACACTGAGCGCCCACCACCAGCAGCCTCTCCTTTTTGAATACAGCTCATTTAGTTCAAGACCTATTTGGTCCGAAACTTCCTTATTTTCTTGCTGTTATTTTGCTTTTAATTATCCAGCATTTATTAACAGTAGTTCTTAAATACTGTTAATCGAGTTACAGATGAGAGCGCTGGAGGTCTAAAGAGTAAAACGACAAAGAAAATGGTGGGAAGAAAGATAGGAGTATGTTTTTGTATATTATAACGGATATTGGAAAGATGTGTTTGTAAACTTCACATGCCTCTTCATAACAAGTTTAGTATCAGAGAGACACTGTCTAACATCCTTCTTTCAAGATTCTTTTCAAGAAAACTGATTAATTTTGAGAGGGACTTTATCCAGAGAATACAGCTGCATTTGTGGCTTTTATTGCACATTCGTCTGCTTTTTTTTTTTTTACTGCACTGTTTAAAAGCTGTAAACGTTACAACTTTTGCAGGAGTTTTTCTCCTTGGTAGTACATTAAATTTGTTGAATGAATACCAGTGTTTGTGCTCATCTGTTTTAAATGCAGTATTCTATGTAAGTCATTTTTTTATTTGAAGAAAGCCACAATAGTGGGTAGCAGAACATATTTATTCATAGACATTATACATAGAAGCAGTTCCCAATGATTTTCCTTTTCTCATTTTACATTTATACATTTCATAAATCATATCCCTCCCTTTCATAATCCTCCAGAGGTATTTAAACCACATTTCAGTGAGCTGAATGTTATCAAGTAATGCTACCAGTTGTTTCCACGTTTTCTTTGTGGTTATTCCTGGAAAAATGCATCTGATTGATGCATTTTTCTAGCCATATGAGAGTATCTGAAAGGTGAACAATGTGTCGACTTCTAGACCAGGAAGCCACAGTGTTTCCAAGAAGGGTGCTATGGTCCGTCCAGTCTTAATTTCTTTACACAGGCAGGTTTCGACAGATCACAGAGATGCGGCGATGACGTGGAATCTTGTGTCCTGAGAAAAATGAATCTTCATCTTTCAGGATTTCATGGGTGAATTTAAAACGAGCATCATCCCTGTTGATAAACAAAAAGTGTTTTACAATTTTTGAAATGTTCACATTTTGCGGTAAGCAAAATTCAATTTAGTTGTTCTATGGCTGCAATTTATTTTAATAACGAGAAAGAAAATTAAATATGTTGGGTAACTACCTTAATATATAAAGTGAGCGCCGGCTCAGAAGCAAGTCCACCCAATCTGTGGAATTATTTTCTGGGACCAGACGCATAATACTATCGGACAACAGGCTCAGCCCTGCAATAGTGCTTCCGCAGAACTGACAAGAGAAAGCAATGTTCATGGAGAACAGAAATAATGTACAAATAACTTAACTGTGGAGAACGATACTGTGCAAATAACTCATAGGCAGACCTTCACACTGTCAATGTGGGGTTTGATATAGCCCTCTTTGTCCAGGTCCAGAACATGAATCGGCCCAAGCAGTGGACTGCCTTCAGGAAATGCAGCTACTCTCACCCGCCTCAAGATGCTTTCACACATAACTCCCCACTGCAGCCGTTCTGTTTCTCTGTAGCCGTGGATGGCCTGAGTGGAAAAGAGATTAAGTTGACGCAAATAAGAGCCTGATGCGTGTTCAAATCCTGGAGGGCCACGTTCCTGACTTTCTTTCAAACATGCTTGATTCATAATGTCTCTGATGAGTGAGTCTGAGAGCATAGTAAGAGCATTTGAAATGTACCAAAGAATTGGAAGATGGGGTGAAAGTAGCCAACAGCAGAAATGTTACAAATACAACATACAAGCAATATGTTTACAACATTATTTGATATTAGCAACACAGAGTTGCATTTAATAAATAGGTCTATTTTTATTAAAGTGTAAAAACATTTTAATTCCAGACATGTCAATTAATTTATGTTTTTAATGTATATGCAAATTGTTTAAGATTTTAATTGAGATTATTTTTATTACTTATTTTTTTCAACAAATTGATCTAGTCGACATGAAATACCTTTAATACACGAAACAAGAAATAAATTCCCTTTTTTTCCCTGTTTTTCTATGGCAGTATTTATTTATTTATTTTGGAGAGGGGTGGATGGATGAAGCGAGTTGCACTACCAATGACAGAAACGATTGTTTCCAAGCAGGTTTCCCAAACACTTCCCTCTGTTCCGTTCTTTAGAAGTAGCCCCGCCCCAAACTCACGGCATTGGAGGAGAGCCGACTGATTGGTCTTTCTTATTGGGCAACGCGCGGTTCGCGCTCAAATTCTATATTGGCAGCTTTCCGGGCTTTTACTACACATATTTCAACGTTTTCAAGAAGCAATGGGTTCACTTGAAAAGTACAGGTAGGTCGTAACTAAACTCAAGAAGTATTACCCATGGCCTACTACCAGTAGGAGGTAGTACAAACGTTGAGTAGCAACCATAAACAACTGTTACAATACGAGTACGTTTTGTTATGAAATGACCTTGGATGTATCATATGTACACACAGTATAGCTAGAAACACGTATACGTGTTACTTACATCGTCCCAGTGGTCAAATTCATATCGCTTTTTTCTAAGTCCTGGTTCTACTTCTTTAAAAATTGCACTCTCCTCTTCCTCGCTGATGAAGTTCTGCTTAACTTTAACTTGTCCACGCACTGCGGACAGAATTTCCTGAGACGATCCACACAACCATTTACTCTCCTCTTTGCAGTCGGGCCCTTTTCGTAGTGCTGAGTTATCCGTTGAAAACCAATTCAATACGGGGCACTGGAGAGATTTCCGCTGTACTTGTTTCACTACTCTAATTAGCGGTGGTGTCATACTGTCGAGGACGCCTTAAAACAGACAATATCCACAATATTCAGCGTACCGGTGTCTCAACTGTCAATGACAAGGCGCCATTTTGAATTCGCTAAGAATTCTGGGACTTGAAGTATTTCACTCAATCCTCTTCATTCTAGCAGTAGTCTAGCATTATTGTGCTCAACGAAAAAAAATATATATATATATACGATTTTATGGGAAATTGTAAATGGAAGCAGTAATTGTAATTCAGTAAAAATGCTAATTTTAACGACAAGTTAAATTATACAACTAATTAAAATTAATTTAAGTTTTACAAATATTATTTCGTTAGTTTTAGAACCGTGTTATTTAATTTGCAAATGGAGCTGCTTGCAGCAACATACCTAAACGAGTTTCATTTGCGCAATGCAGTTTTCATTGAGTCAAGACAACATGATACTAGATCAGTGTTGCCAGATTGGGACGGTGATTTCCAGCCCAAAAGCTCACCAAAACCCGCCCACTACAAGAAAAAACCGCCAAAATTTTACTGCCAAAATAATGTGATATAATTTCATTACCATGTCATTTAAGGTTGATAAGCACAATTTGTATCTACTTAAAACAAAATAACGATGATAAAATAAAAAATAAATAAATTTTCCAGCAAAACAGATCAAAACAGGGCAATAATTAAGGAGAATTAGCCAATATGACTAAAATGTCCAGGTGGACACTGTCAAAACGCCAATCAAGAAATGAACCGATGACTTTAACCCTCGGAAGTACACATATTGCAGAACATAACGCAGAATTTAGCAGTCAAAACGGATTCGTCGTTGATTCAAACCTTTTTCAGCAGCTGTCAGGGACAAGTAGAGTGCAGTCTGGATGGTGTAAAGTTGCAGATGTTTGGTTAGGCTAGTGTGCACATATGACATGGACAGGAATCGTCCCATTTTTGATTTCAATTCAAGTCATTCAACTGTGCTCTCCTCTCAGAGTTATATTCACCATAGAGTGATCTCCTTCCACGTGTGCGTTTTTTAGAGTTGCTCACTACTGTACACTCTTTTGTATAGTAGGCTATGTCACTTTGCCTTAGCGATCACTTTAATATACAGCTACAACTTCTCGCGCTCAATCGCGTCTGCCTGCGGATCGCTGATTGGCTAAAAGTGCGTGCTCGTCGGTGATGTCAACACTAACGCCAGCTGACTCTGCATGAGCGTGTGTGTACAGTAATGTCATGATGACTGATTTTATGGACTACATGCACTTTAGTTTCGTTTTTTTTAACAATTAGACTTTAAAATGTAGATGTTTGAAAACCGCCGAAATGATCCCAAACCAGCCAAAATTTTGACCACCCGCCCAAACCCTTTTTTACCCGCACAATCAAATTCAAAACCGCCCAATTGGGCGGGAACCCGCCCAATCTGGCAACACTGTACTAGATCTAATTTCTAATTGCAATACCGCTTTTGAACACTAGGGGGCACCATATGATTGTTGCTAGCTGTGATAACTACAGAGGAAAAAACTGCAATTTTTAAATTGATGCCAAGGTATCAAACAAATAAGTAAGGAGCAAAATATAAAAAGTACATAATAAAATAGCAATGAAAGCAAAGCATCAATTATAAATAAATACACAAACATTAGCAAAATAAATGAAAAAGGTTGAACAAATTTACTGTCTTAAAAGAGCTGTTTTAGAAAATGAAGGAGTTTGGATGTAGGCCTACTGTTGGACCTCTTTTCTAAAAGGGGTCCAACTTTGACGAGTGAATTTGCTGTGGTGAATGTGAAATTTTGCAAGGAGCTATAAGAGATTAATAATAAAGTACTCATTATTTTTTAGATTTTTCAATGTTAAAGAAGCCAAACAGCACATCCTTAAAGAACAGTGAGAAGCCCAAAAGCACATTGCAGTTAATAATCTTCCATCCAAAATAGTTGTGTGTGAGGACAGTCCCAGAAGATGTGAAGAACAGTTTTTTCTAGGGGCAAAAAGAGCATCTTGTGACTTAAACATTTTCAATTATATGCTTTAGCCGGGTAAAATGTAATAATTTGAATGAGATTTCTTAACCTTGTTAGTTATTATGTATTTCAATTCCCAAGGCACAGTCCATACCTTTTTTCCAATTAATATGGTCAACAAAGGTCTCCCAATATGACACCACATATGGAGTTGTTACAAGCTCCTTTTGGAAAAGAGACCTAATTCTAAATTTAGGTGATTCAGAGAAAAACCTGTATTGTATATTTTCTCCTGTCTCTTCCTATTTCCCCCCTCTGCTAATAACCACTTAAAATCTTAAAGTTTATCAGATCCAGTTTCTTGTACTGGCCTCCCCCTGCTGGCTATTCAGTATTTCTGTGGAATATATTTGTGACGACCTACATATTTGTTGTCCAAAAGTGTCACAATACAATCCAAATAAATTTCTAACATGTTTTTTCCCCTTCAGATTATGTCACTGTTCTTTTAGACGTTTAGCTTTTTTGAGTCTCTCTCTCTCCCTGCCACACACACACACACACACCACATTGACTGGTTTCTCTCATCAATTAGCCCGCAAGACTGTAATGATGGTAATTATTTGTAATTGTAATGGTCAGACAGTGCTGTTTGTGGCAGTGAGAGGGCATTAAACAGTCTGTAGGTAAGTGAGATTTACAGGCAGTAAGATGTTGAGTGCTGATACATGGCTCTGTGGAAATGTGCAGTAAATTCAAGCTGTATCCACTACAGCAGGGGTGGGGAACCTTTTTTCTATCAAGGGCCATTTACAATTTTTTAACATTCTTTAAGGGCCATAATGAGGTTCAGTGTTTGGAAGGAAGAAGAGAGGGTCGGCGTGACTGGGACTCATACGTTTTATTCAGAGGTGTAGTGGTAAAAAAAGAGGTGGATAAACTATAAATTCTGGTGGACCACGACATGGTCACCCGGTAAGGTGGGCCACTGCCTACCGGTGTATGTGTTTCCTGATGACATTGCTATAGGCAGGGCTCGACATTAAGCTTTTCATACGCTTGTCAAAAAAGTTTCTCGTCCGAATTTTTTTTTTTTTTAATTTATTCTGAAACAATATTCTCATCAGTGTTCAATTAGCTTTGATATTTAAATCGGCATATTGTAATATTTGCACCTTTAAAGGGCATCCCCTCCCCCAATATTATTAAATGTAGCCTATGCTTCATCTTTCATTTTAAATTCTTAAATTTGATCAATAAATTAAATTATTTCGAATAATAAGACACTATAGGGCTGATCAAATTAAATCATTTACACTGAAAAATTACAATTGCATAAAATAATGTCATGAAATACTGTAGATTTAAATTTACAAATAAGAAACATTGGAAAGAATGATCTACTTTTAAACATAACACGAAACCGCCAGTAGGTGGCGGCAGGCGACCGTCTTAATGAGTGAGTCATTGATTCATTCATGATTCAAACGATTTGTTCAAACAGCTGATTCATTCAAGAATGAGACAGATGTTTATGAATGTGTCATTGAATCTTTGACTCAATCGATTCGTTCAAAATGCTGAATCATTCAGTAATGAAAACAGGTTGAGTGTTCCTGTGAGATGCGCTGTGGTTCTGCTGTGATTTTTGTTTGGAACTATTTTCGCTGCTGAAACAGAACAAAAACAGCCAATATTGCATCTAAAATGTAAGTGACTTAATTTTAACTGTTTATTGAACTGTTGTAGGAAATCAATGTCACATTTTCAATCGTGATGGTGTTCATGAAAAATAATTGAGGTTGCTTAACATATGTTAAAAATATAAAAACTCCACATTTAGATTTTTTATAGGCAGTATGTTGTTAACTGAGTGTGTGTGTGCGATTTAGTGTAGATTTCTCCTCGAGAGGCTGCGCGAGCGTCAACAGCGCAACCTCACCGTCAGTAATAGTCAACAACACTGACAGTAATGCAGCGCAATATGAAGAGTTCGTCTTAGGTTTAACAACCTATGAACTAATAATTAACAATATGAAACTAAAACGACATAAGCTTAATTTATAGCTATTTAGAGGTGGATAAAAGCACAAAAACCGGGAACCGGCAAACGTTTAAACCACTTTAATACATTAATACGCACATGACAAAACGAAAGTAAAAGCAGTAGCTCCTCGTGGACGACGACCACACACACATAAAGTAAAGTCCATGCCTGGTCCTCCGCTGTCTTCGTTCCGATCATTTTACGCGCCCCGAAGCTGATCAGTGACAAACTTGAAACCGGTGCGGGGCGCGGTGAGAAACTTGAAACCGGTGCGGCGCGCGCGCACCCGAAGCTCATCCGTGAGAAACTGAAACCGGTGCGCAGGTGACTCGCGCTACTGGCCTTGCCCTGCTTGCCGCTTTCCCTATTTTGTGTTTTCTGTCACAGGAAAAGTAATGGCTGAGATTTTTGGTTCTGAAGTTCTTTTTTTTTTTTTTTTTGGGAGGATTTGACTCGCGGGCCGCGGGGCCGGACGTTCCCCACCCCTGCACTACAGCAAAGATTAGAAGATTGCAAAGCCAGGAATAACTCAGAACATATAACCTCATAGAATAGTGTGTTTTTCTGTAGCATGCACTGGTTTACATTACAAATTAGCTAAGTTGTGACATTTTCTACATTTTACAAGCAGTTTTACATTTCAACACACTGAAAACATAATTGACCCATTTCTAAGCTCCACCCCCTTTAGTGATTGTTGCTCTAGCTTTACAGAACATCCTATAGAAATAGAAACTGGAAATTTGTATTAAAATAAATCGTGAAATTTGCTGTCTCTGCTGTTTTAAATCAGCTTGCTGCTAAATCATAAGTGACAACCGCTTCTCAGTCAACTGAAAAGAGGAAAAGCCTATTTTTTTTTAAGTTATACAGTATATTAGGGAACATAACTGTTCATAATGTTTCTATGGTGGAAACAATGTTTTACCATATTTTTGGTATATCCTCCAAAACAGATCGTCCATAGATTTACATTAGAAAAAAGCAGAAGCTTGTCTGAGAAAATGGTGGACGGCAACAGTTCTACGGTAGAATTGGTCAGTAACATTTTTAAGGTGGGGCTTAGATAAGGGTCAATTCTGAAGGAGAGATCAACTCAGAACGTTCACACACACACACACACACACACACACACACACACACACAAATGCAGACAAACACTGCAACATATCTCACTTCTCAGACCTGAGAGGTCTGTCTGGCTGCCCTCCAAGCCTGTCCTCCTGCAAGAGCCTTCTCTCAATGGGCTTCTTTACTGACAGCAGCTGATCTAAAGAACACAGGAAACAATTTAAGCCTCCAAGATTCAGAGAGCTTGTCAAGTGACTGTATATATATTGCTCAAATTTTTGTAATGTAAATTTAGTTTGATTTCCTGCTGGAGAGGTACAAGTCATAGAGAGAGGCCTTGCTCACACAAATGCATACTAACAGAAAATAAGATTTTTTTTGAAGAATGTTGATAACCAAATAGTCCATTGTGTGGACAAAAAACACTAAGACGTTTCTCAAAATATATTTTATGTTCCACAGAAGAAGATTTTTTTTTTTTTACATGACATGAGGGTGAGAAAATGATATTATTGATATTCATTTCTAGGTGAACTATCCCTTTAAGTGGATGAGAATCATGATGTATCAGACATCATTGGCTTTGAGTGGAAAAGAGACACTGAGCTTGGGAACTGAGTGAGAGGAAGTAGATCATAAAGAAAGGTATGACAGTTGAGTGAAAACATATATTGTGATGACTTCAGTTATGTTCTTTAGTGAAGATACTTTGGAGCAGTTTACAGGCACTTTGATACAATGTTTAATTGCTCTAAGCAGATCAACAAAGACTTCCCAAATTTCTTGCCATTACTGACCTTTTTTGGTGGTTTTAACTGCCAAACGTCATGTTAATCCAGAAACGTGTCTATTTGCTTCTGTTGGTGCTGTTAACGAGACTGTCTATATGTTAGCAGAAGGGGGTAAAGGCAAAGAAAAGAGAGATGGATGGAATTTTTGTCAGGGGCTTTGGGGCTTTTAATAATTCTATGCTGTTTAAAAATGTATTATACCTGCACCAGGCGTTTCCCCAAATAAAACACGCTGCTCAAAGGACGGTGGCCCACTTTACGCTCGCACAGTCTCAGTATCACAGCTACATGGCAACATATTCATCTTTGTCTCTTACCTGTAGCAAAAAGTATCAATTATGTGTGTTTTCATTTTGGTATAGTATAAAATTGTGTTTATGAGCTTCTCTAGTGGTCTGGTCTGTTTATAAACGTACTAAGCAATCATGTCTGCAACATTCTTATTTTCTCTTGTAGGCCTACATGTTTATTGCATCTGACACAGTAACATACAGAAGGCTGACATATTATGGTGTGGCTTGTTCCACTGACCAGCAGGATATATATCTGGAAGATAAAGGTTAAATAAGGAGCAGAGAACCTGGTATACATGCGGTCTATGAATTATTCAACTTTATGAGTCACTGAGTTTAGCTTCTGCTGCAAACACAGCAGCATTACTTCAGAATTCTTGATCGGCCCTGTGTTTGTATGTGCTCATTTTTAACATCTCTTTGTCAACAATATATGCAGTCACACATTTAGTCACACTTTGTTGTGAGATTTACATGCGACAGTTTTATGGGTGCACTGAACACTTGAATTGTGATTGATTTAATGACCATTTTTACACCACATTTTCTCTGAATCTGAGCGTAGTTGACCAAACTAATCTGCGAATCAAGAGACCCAAATTCATTCATAACTCAATTTTGGCAAAATATATACTTATTTTATCTTTGTCGAGCAGTGTAGTGAGAGATTGACTTCTCTCTCTTTCTGTCTCTCTTTGGTTGACTGTGTGCTGCTGTGTTAGATTAGTGTTGCATGCTTTAATAATGCACTAAGGGAGGGGTGTTTCTGCTTGGCAGCAGGAGAGAGGCTCTGACATTCAAAAACAGTCGCCTTGTGAACCCCAACTGTGTGACAAGGCTGACACAACAGGACTACAGCACACATCACAGCATACAGCATCGCCATACAATCAACCCTTATTCATAATCAATACATTATCCCCTGGTTTCACAGACAAGGCTTAAGCTATTCCCAGACTAAAATGCATGTTTGAGCTAATTTAACTGAAAACAACTTGCACTGACTTAATTTAAAATATGTCAGTGCCATTGTTTTGTCTCAAGATGCACACCAGTAATGTTGTTTAAACATACTGTTGTTTTAAACGTTTTGGCGATGTGCAAAATCCCTGTAGAGGCAGCTGTCCGTTCTAAGACAGATGATGAGCAGGATTTGTCTTATAGAGTTAGAAGCTGCTAGACTGTGTACAGTCACTAAATTGGAAGCTTTGATTTAGAAAGATAATGAGTCCTGGTTTGTTGTTTTGTGATTGATTCCTTTATAGAGATGTAGCTAGTCTTTATATAGCATTTAATTTGCATGTTTTTTTTTCTCTGTCCAGTTTGATTAATGAATTTAGGTCACAATTTGGAGCTCTGACTCACCAATTCTCAAGGTTGTTCATTTGGAATAGTTTAAGGGTAATTTTACAAATCATTAAATTAGCATGTTGCACAAAATAAAGGTATAAATTATAATCTGGCATTAATCCAGATTAAATCACATTAATCTGTATCAATTGTTGCCAAGCTAAAACTTGGCTGGTATTAGTGTTAATTACTTATTGAAATTTGAGTAGGGATTTGTTGAAAATCCACCACTCTTTTGTTTTATTAATTTTTAATACAAGTTTGTTATTGCAGGACCAATATGAATGTTTTTGTTTATATTTTGTATTATAATAATACGATGATATGTAATCATAACTTATTTTATTTATATTCAATTTAGGGATTCATATTTTGAAGTGATCAGTTTGACCTCATGGCGGTGTGCAATGTTTCAGCACCAAGGACAGCTACATTGGCGGGCGACTGCGAGCCGCTTCTGTCATTAGATCGGTGCTCTGTGAGTTTAGTGAAAGATAAACACTTTGTTTGGTATTTCATTTGAATAAAAACAGCAGATAAAAGAGACACCTTATTGAAACGTAAATAAGGTGTCTCTTTTATCTGCTGTTTTTATTCAAATCAATTGTGAAATTTGCAGTTGTGTTTTCAAATAGTTTTTCAAAAACAACAAAAGTTAGATTAGTATTACAGTATAAGCCCTGTACACTCACTTTACTGCCGCTTAGTCTGACTGTTCAGAGATACATGAGAAAATAGTCTGTCAGCCGCTGTTGATCTGTTGACTGGAGGCTGGTGCCTGCTGGAGCTCTTGACCCCCCCGGGCTCTTCTGAATCTGGACTGACGCTAAACGCATCACATACGGGTGATCACACGCGTGCTGGTTCAGACAGCGAACAGCCTGCTGCACAAGATCAAGGGATGAGCAGAGATCCAGAGCAGAGTCTCTCCCGTGAAGTTCACTTTTTTTTCGCAGCAGTAGCAGGCTGTGTGATATTGTGGTATTTCTTGCTTTATTTCTGGAGCGTTTTTAACGCTTTAAGGTTGACAAGTGTGCCCAACATTGGGATGAGATGGGGCATTTAGGAGGACCAAATACAAGCTTCTGCTTACCTCTTCCTGTGATATCTAATAGGTGCATGGGCACTGTTAAGGTCGCGCGGGTCTATTGATTTTTGGCACTCGCAAACAACCGCGCCCTAAACCGTATTGCTCTTGACTCACTCTCAAACCCGCTTTTTTTTTTTTTTTTAAATGCGTGGATAATGTATCATCGTAATTTGACGAGACATTATTTGTTTACAAAGTCTACTGTTAACAATTTAACGTAACACGAATGAAATGTTTAAGTAAAAACAAAACTGTTAGTTTCCTTGCCATATGCCCTAGGCCTAAATGTTTTTAAAATATTTATTTTATTGAGACTATATAGCCTATATATATGTGTGTGTATGTGCACAAATTTACTGTACTAAACATTTAGCCTACCTTTTTTTGCAAGTAAATAGTAGGTATATACATGTACTAGTACTTTCATTATACTGCATATTTTTTGTATTTACAGTAAAAAATGTGTATGTATCAAATAAGATGGTATAACAACATACAATTAGTGACACATGCTACATTTTGAAGCTGTCAAATATAGTCTCTAAAATGCCATCCCGTATGTTGTAACATCTTTATTGTATTTTGTTACGGTAATTTTGTGTAAAGTAGCCTACTGATGTAAAATTCACAGCTGCCATTTTTATGGAAATATTATATCTATTATTATTTTTTTAAATCTACATTACTGTTATTAGAAATGGTGGGTGGGTGAGTTGAAGAGGGAGAGTTATCAGCTATAGGTGATGGGAAATCTCCTTCTATTAATTCCGAAATGTCTGCGTCCAAGATTAGCCTGTCGGTCCTCGCCCTGCGTGTCCTCGCAAAGCGCATCCGTTCCCGAGAGACGCACGTTTGAATGCGCAGCTGTCTCCCGGCGCTCACATCCTGACCACTTGCACAAACAGCCCATAACCTGACAACGCGCTGTCAGTTTTGTTCCGTTCCGTTATCAAAGCTGCACAACCACTCTTTTAATGTGGTAAAGGCAGGTGAGCTGAGGCTGAGAACACATTCAGTAGTGGCTGAAGATACAGACTGGTACAGGTACAGACTGGAGTTGGGAGGATAAATTAGTCAGTGGGGTGCGTGCGCGTGCGTGCGTCACGCGCTGCAAGAAGAACTGGCCAGAGCGCTAAATTGATCAGTGGCACATTATAGCTTTAGCTTGCCAGCTGATCGGAGCTAACTGTTTCGTTCGGCTTGTGTTTCACAACCTGATATCCTGCGAGCCCCCACCCCACATTCGTTCTCAGCTGCCTCCTCCCCCTCTTTTTTGTCCTCAGGGGCGCTTGCCGGAGAGTAACGAGGCTAACAGACAGCTCAACATTGGCAGAAATAAGGAATAGAGGGATCCGAGTCTTCTCACAAACGGATTGCCTTCGGGGAAGATGAGCAGATCCTACGCGGCCCAGAGCCCAGTGCAGAGAAGCAAGAGCGGCTATGGAGACCCGAAGATGTCGCCGTTGTCCCCTCGCGATTGATGCTTCTACTTTCTGTCAATGTGTCCCTTTACTGGATTTTACGACGGTTGGATTGGTTCTTTTGCACTTAAAATGCCAGTAATGTCTCTGGCGAAAAGGATGACACCTTAGTGAGCACAGGGTAAAAAAAAAAAAAATCAATCGATACTTGTGATGATCTATTTTTGCATCCGAACAATGTGTCGTAAAGAAGAGGAAAAGAGAATTAATATCGGATCTCGTGCATCTATCTATAGCAGAGATGCAAATCCATGCCAGTAAACGTGAGCGCGAGGTGACCGAAGGCAGATTATAGCTAACGTTACTGTGGCAAATATTGCGGATGTTGCGAAATAAACAAATAATAATTTGTATCCTATTTCCCTCTGTTTTAAATAGATGTTCATACTGTGATAATCCTAATGAACAGTTAAAACTGAACTAAAACGATTGTTTTAAATGTTTTCATTTCTGTTCACTTGGTTATCACATCTAGATCGTATAGCCTAAATAATTGTAGCTATGATAATTACAACCTGAATTTTCAAGGAAAAGCACGGGAGAGAGTCCGCTCTGAAAAATAAGGATGGAGCCACAGAAAACGAGAGATGTACTCAAGAATGACATGGCCGTGGAAATATGTTGATTTAGGACATACAATGAGGTGATGATGGACCATTTTGTGTGCTGAAGTGTGAAACGAACCTAAACTGCAAAATATAAGGCACGCTTATTTGCTCCATTTTGTTTGTTTGTTTTTTGTTCGTTTTATTTTTCGTTTTTGCCTAAAATTTAACCATCAGCTCTTGGAGTCTACCGCGTCACATATACACGCCAGGAAGACAAATGTGTACTCCAGTTATACACGTATTAAGTTTTGAAGCAGATGGGATGTAATGTGGTGTGGTCGCGTTGAATATTCGCCCCCTTTTTTCCTGCTTCGTGAAGACTGGCATTTGGAGTCTATAGAATGGCTCGGTTCGGAGATGAGGTGCCGTCCAGGTATGGCGGAGGACCGGGACACGCTCAAGGGGGACCCGGCCGCGGCGGCAGCAGGCAGGGTGGCCCGCCGGGTCAGAGAATGTACAAGCAGTCAATGGCCCAGCGAGCCAGAACTATGGCCCTGTACAACCCTATACCGGTGCGGCAAAACTGCTTCACTGTCAACCGCTCTCTGTTCATCTTCAGCGAGGACAACTTTGTGAGAAAATACGCCAAAAAGATCACCGAATGGCCATATCCTTTTAAACCCAGTAAGCGAGTACCTTGGGGCCTCCAGTTGCAGGTATAGTGCACTTGAGTAGCCTATGGCATATGTACGGTCACTTGAACATGCCAAAACACGATAACGATGAATCACATTACTGCAGGTTTAATGATGGCTGTGTAGAGGGGGGGAGGGGGGATGCGCGGGAGGTCATGGTTTTATTGGGACTTTTCATTTGAGTGTTTTCAGCTATTTATTTGTCAAGCTATTTCGGTGACCGAGATGGATTGAGTCTATATCGTGTGTTTGTTCGCTGAGTTACGCACGGGTGTGAGTTGAGCTTTGCTGTGTGACGATAGCGGGCGGCGCTGTGGCTCGCGGAGGCTTGCTGATGTCAGCATGTGCAGTCTCTCAGCTCGGTCTCGTTCGAGAGAAAGGGAGAGGTGAGGGGAGGGGGAAAGCCACCATTTCCAATATTCTAAGAGCTCCAGGAGGATACGGGATATGTATGTACTTGCATTTTTCATAGCCTCATTTTTAAAGACAAAAAGCATAGGTTTAGTCTGCAGAGAAAGGGAAGTCGTTTAAGCGATGTCACACAAGCAGTCATACAAGGCCGCAGGTAATCAAAGCAGTGCTGATGTTCAATACAGCATGACTGTGAGCGTGACATTGTTTTTATACAACAGCTAAGAAACATGAAGCATACTTTATAACGAGGAACTAGTGTTTCAGACAAAAATAGGCTAGTTATCTCATTATTAGTTTGTCAACACAAATAGTTCCAAAAAAATCAAGCTTTGTGTCATCCAAGCAGCACACAGACTGAAAGCCGGTCTGGAATTAGAGTATGTGAGTGAAGCAGAGTGACACATGACTACTTCCAAAATCCCGTTGGAGTATGTACTGCATTTAATGAAGAACTTTTTCTTTTGATAAAGTATGATTTATAGGTATAGCCTATGCACGTGTCATGACATCAACCACAATTACAATTATGGTAACTTTTCTCCCATGGCCCTAAGAGACAAGTAAAGTGTCTATCAAATGATATATTTTTCACCCAGTGTTTTATTAACACTGCAAATTAGGACATACTTGTTTTCGAATACTAAGACACTGTTACATAAAACCTGCACCTTAGGAATGCTTTATGTACGTAGGTGTGAGTTATGTGTGAGTTTTCTTGAAACATGCACATGGTTTCTTTTGTGACAGCCCCATTCATATTATAAAAAATATATTAGGTTTATTAGTAGACCAGTTTTATAGTTTTATATGTGTATTTATTGTTGAAAATGAAAAACTATGCCCTGTACCTAAGTCTATTGTCATCATGTCCTCATGACACCCTTTTGGAAGGGATTTGGCATGCTTGTTCAAAAGCAGGGCATGTAAGATGCAATGAGCAGATGCATTGAATCATGTATGCATTTTTGACTTGGTATGTCCTGAGTACAATGGCAGAACAACCCAATAAACACTAGTGTTTTATTTTTATAAATCTTTAGTTACTGGAAAAAGGCAGAAGTTGTTCACTCCCTGCCTTTTCTAATAGGCCTCTTAGGATTTAAAATCATTATATGTGCACAGAACTGCACCCACACACACACTCTTTTGTCACTGTATTTTAAACTACCAGAGCTTTCAGTGACCTTTAAAGGGTTAGTTCGCCCAAAAATGAAAATTCTGTCAGTAATTACTCACCCTCATGTTGTTCCAACCCCGTAAGACCTTCGTTCATCTTCGGAACACGAATTAAGATATTTTTGATGAAATCTGAGAGCTGGATCACTCCTCCATACTAGTCCATAGGCTTCTTCAGGGATTGAACTTGCTGAAGGATTTTTGGGTGAACTAACCCTTTAACATTGCACTCGACCTGAAAGCCACTCTTTCTAGCCTCATTCTTCTGATTTATCTTACGGAAACATGTAATGAGGCCTTGTGATCCAAAGTCCTTAACTTCTCTGCTTTTTTTTAGAAGTGTTTTTCAGATGCCCACAGTATAGCAACCTTTTTAATAGTTACAATTGGCCGTGATTTGTATCCTACAGAAGTCGCTGATAAAAATGGTGTGCATTTTAGAATTACAAATTTGAAGAGTGTGCCGCATGTGAATGTAGATTAGATGAGATCATCAATTTATGGTTACCAAGCATTGCATCCTTTCTTTCACCCCTCTCTGTAGAGATAATGTAACTCTAAAAAGACATTGTCTCAGCCTCTTTTCGTTTATGGGCCTCCTCTCTGCACTGTAAATGGAATGTAACCTTATAGCTGACGCTGTATTTTCTAATTTTAGTTTCATTGACAAATATGAGCCTATCTGGAGTGCAGATAATATGCTTATCTATCCGAAGAGACCTTTAATATGTGCTCAGTTGGTTGTCTTAAACATGTTAACACGTGCATCTAGTCATGAAACATTTTTGTACCCGTGGTCTCATTTTAGTAATAAAGTGCATGAATGTTTTCAATCACAAATAAGTTGTCTGAATGTTCTGAACTCATAATTAAACCGTCAGATCTAGTTTACCACCAAGAAATGGCAGATAGAAACTAATGAGAAATTAATTATATAAATAAACTATAAATAGATGATTTGGAGAAGGCAGAAAGAGTGGTTGAGTGGACACCAGAGGGAGACAGACTGATAGAAAGAAGTTGTCGTGAGTCGTGAGCCCTTGCAGTTTTCTTCCATGTGTAGAAGCAGTGATCTACATTCAGTCTGAATAATTTCAATTATTTATTCCCCCTTTCTTTCCCTTTCTCTATCAATTCCTCTTTCTCCCTCATTTTTTCTAGTGAACTACTGTTTGCTTGACAGGCATTGTTTCAATGATGAAAAATTGCAACATTAAAATCAAGCTACTTGTGTGTTAGAAGGTGCTGACAAATCCAGATCTACCACGTGTGTTTCATAGAATCATGGTACAATCTGGCCGTTTTCTTCTCCTTTTTGTAATTTCTTTTTTATAAAGATTCTTTTTGATCAAGCACCTGCTGAAGTTATGTGCACACACTACTTTGAATTGACAATCTGGTAAACACACACACACGCGCGCATGTGTTTCCATAGATTCTTATACTGTACAAGCTGTAGATTATTTCCACTAAAGGTTTATCACAGAAAAGGTTTTTGCATTTTTACATTTTCAAAAAACATCACTTCAGGATGATTTATAAGCTGTTTTCATTATGGGGATAAAAAAATGACCCCAAAAGGACAAGGATTTCAGATATTTTAATTTTTGTAGGGACATTTTGTCCCCATAACTTGGGTTTACCAGGACCACACACACACACACACACACACATTTTCTAACATATCAAACCTCTATTTTCTTTATCACAAGCATGTCTCTTGCTCTATCCTGTTATGAGGTTCTTGTCAGGCTAAAAATAGCGGTGGACTGTAAGAGAAGTTGTCAATGGCATGTTCTCCTTCCCTCCTGCTTTTCTGCCTCCTTGGAGTCAGTCCTCTGTTGCATACACAAACAGGCATCGCCGTCTTACCGCAACTCCAATGCCAGTTTGGAGGGGAAATGGGGACTTTAGTTTTGTAAGAGGGCTTCATAGTGTATTTAAAGTAAAACTGTGGTAGAAAAGAGGACGGGCCGCTTAGACCACTGAATATACAGTTTTTAGTGCAAGCATGTCATATTTGCTCACATTTTTCTTCTTATGTCTTTTCAGCAGAATCTGGAGTGTTATAAGCAACGTATTTAAAGTAGTTAGGTATTATGTGCTATTGTTGGATTATAGTATTGATATGTCCTGGCAGTTTATGTTTATTAATTCTAACTCTTTCTAATAACTTGTGTCTGTGTTTTTATTATATTTGTGTATTTGCACAAATGTGTACAATACAATACAACTGTTTAGTTACCAACATTCTACAGTTGTGAGAAAAAAACAATGTGGTTCCAGTAATTGTTATTTGCGGTTTTATGTTGTCTTATCTGGACATACATGTGTGATCTAATATGAAAGAGATATTCAGAGAACTGAAGAAAAAAGGAGAAGGGCTTTAAAAAGGGTAGAGACACCGACTTAAAAAAAGGATGAAAGGAGTCGTTTGGAATACATTTTGGAATAACAGAGTGACAGGGAGAGAGACTGCCTGCCTGACTAAATTATTTAGGATGCAGGCATAGTTGCACACACCTAAATGCAAACATACCACAAGGCTACAGTAAAGCTTATGGGTTTCACTTAAAATTGTGACAAACCCTTTAATTTAATTTTATAAATAATACACATCACATAATTAGATCATTAACACAGGCTTCATTGGACACTTCAGCTCTTCTTCTCCCCTGGTTCATAGCATCACAACATGTCCCTGTGTGTCTTAACACTGTGTATGATGGGATATGACTGGATGATAAGATTTTCCCTTCATTTTAGATCCTCTCTTCCATTTGGGCAACAGGGAGGTAAATGTGTCATCCTACATTCATTCACACAATCGTCTCTGTCTCTGCCAGTCACTCCCTCTCTCTCTGTGTTTATTGGCATGATTGTAAAATATAGAAATATTGGATTGGGTAAGGATTCAGTCATTTATAACGTGTTTGAAGGGAATTAATCTCATACATCCATGGGACCAGGTTAAAAGTAATGGTAATAATACATAGATTCTGGCACTTTGTTGCATAGTGAACTGCTTTCAGCAATGTTCAATATGATTTTTTTTTTTTTTTAAGTTTATTTTTTAGTTCACCCAAAAATGAAAACTCTGTCATCATTTACTCACCTTAATATCGTTTCAAACCCATAAGAATTTTGTTAATTTTTTATTCATATGGATTACGTTTACAGTGTACAGTTTTTATGAACTTGAATTTTTTTAGTTAGGCCTACATGGACTTTCAGTGGAGGGACAGGTTTCTCTCAGGTTTCATTAAAATATCTTCATTTGTGTTTCGAAGATTAACAAAAGTATTATGGGTTTGGAACAACATGCATGAAGGTGAATAATTGGTGACAGAATTTTCATTTTTTGGTGAACTATTTAATTTT